TAATATTTTTATTTGAAAGTAAATTTTTATCGCTTGGGTACGTAGGATGTGTTCAAAATTCATATGATCAAGTAAGCGTGGACATAAAAAGAGCTATAAATAGGTATTCAGCTCATGTTCCCAAGAACGCTTTCGCGAATTATATTGGAGTTATAGAATCTCTTTCGCCTTATTCTTATTATTTCAATTATACGTCTTCATCCTGGATACTGCCTTGCGTAACTCTGTGATATATATGTATTGTATTGTTTATTTAAAGCTGGAATACATATACGCTAGGTTCTAATAGCCTTTTTGTACCAAGAATTATTGTGCTTTTTCAACCGATTTTAGCAGTAGATGATACAAAGAGCTTTAATCAACTTGAAAAGAAAACTCAGTGTTAAAAATTAATGTTCTATTCATCATCACTTGATCCACATCTGATTCTTCGCTTGATTCTTCATCATCAAGCATAGGTTCGATATTTTCTTCCATATGTCGATCAGCAATTTTGAATTTATTTTCAATTTCTTGAGTGCGCTTGATCACCTTGGTAGCTGTATCACCATCATAACTGGCAATAAACTGTGCAGCAAGTTCACGCACGTCGGTAAGTTGGAAACGAGTGTTACCCTTACGCACATACTCTTTTAAATTCGCCCAACATAGCTCAATTGGATTCAAACAACAGTGTCTGACAGGTAAACGAACAATTTCCACATTGAATTCCATAGCTATCTCGTTTACCTATTTTAAATAATAATAAAATAAAAAATAATAATAGCTGTATAATCGTTACTTTATATCTTTTCATAGGACGGTTGACTGATGCAATTTCCAACAACTCTGCTTTTGACCATAATGGATCGAAATGAATACTACGATTATTTAACCACTGCTTTATCTTATCTTTTTTCCAGGATCTTTTTACAGGTTTACATGAATCTACCAGTTCACAATGCCATGGTGCATTGTCGATCACAATACAAATGCGTCTTTGTGGACCTATTTTGTAAGAAATTGAAATATTACGCAAACAAATGTAGCAAAAAAAAGTATATCATACCGTTGTCAGTGCGAAGACGAAATGCTGCTGTTTCAATCCATTTGAGAAAATACTCAGAGTTTACTGAATGGTCTTTGGAGCAAGTAAATATATCGACAGTTGGTAGATGAATTCCATCGATATTCATCATTGCTGATATTGCGATTCTACTCCCTAAGACATCACATTTGGTTTTTAGTTCTAATATTAAATTGAAAGAGTTACCTTTCCCTTCGTTTTTCTTTATCCTTCCCTTCCCATCGTTGTCCACCCATATAGATGTTTTTTCAGTACCGGAATTAATCCAACTTTCATCGTGAAAAAAAACAAGCGCGTTGGCATCTCGTAATTCATCCATTTTTCGAAAAAACTTCGCTCTCTGAGCAACAAAACAAATATTATCAAGTGGAATCTTTACCTTAGTAGTTGATTTATAAGAAAAACCTATACGATGAAGATGACGACGAAGTGTTGTTTTAGATTGAACTGGAAAATCATTATGTAATTGATGAAGTCTTTCCAGAAGATTATCTGTGTTTGGATAAATATTTTCAGCCAGTAATGCGTGGAACTGGAATCTTATCTCACTATCAGCTTGTTCCGATAACTTTATAGGTACTCGTCCAGATCTCTTCTTGGTTGGTTCTGGCTCCGGAACAACAATTGAAGCCGATGACAATCCTAATGACGATGACCTTCGTTTGAGCTTGGATACTGGTCGCACTTTTGATTGTGAACGAAGACGTGGTGGCCGATACTCTTGTTCTTCTGCATTTTGTGCAGCCGTCAATTCTTTCTTCAATTTTAATAAAGCACCTTCTGAAATACCCAACATAGCCACCAGTCGAGCATTACAGTTGTAAAGAGGAATTGATGGACCTGTTTTCTCATTTTCGACAAATTTAATTACACGAAATATTAGCTTCTTCATATCAACTGAAAAATGAACACCTGATGGCATGCTATCAATGTGTGAAAAGCAAATATAGTGAATGAATGAACGATTGATACTACTATAAAGTGGATATCATTTGCATGAGCGCATAAAAAAATGACTCTTATTGTATTCGATACTGTGAACGACAAATGAAAAAATAGCAACAAATCTCCAATTTCAAAAACGATCTGTCTTCTAATATGGGTGGTCTAGTACGCCCTCTATATGGGATTAGCTGATTTTTTATATAAAGGGTTTTCGAAAATAATCTCTATTTCTTCCATCGTTCTGCAGAAACAATATGGCATATAAGATGTATACATATAATTAATCATAAGCTGAATACCTATTCATAGCTCTTTTTATGTCCACGCTTACTTGATCATATGAATTTTGAACACATCCTACGTACCCAAGCGATAAAAATTTACTTTCAAATAAAAATATTATCCATTGAAACATCGTACAGGAACTTACTTTGGTTTGATCAGTACTAGGAAATGAAAAGATAATCATCTGGACTATAT